CCTCCTCCTCCTCCCCTCCTTCCTCCTCCTCCGCCTCCGCCTCTGCCTCCTCCTCCTCCTCCTCCTACCCCCGTCGTCCTCCTCCTCCTCCTCCTCCTCGCTCCTACCTCATCCTCCTCGCCTCCTCCTCCTCCTCCTCCTCCTCCTCCTCCTCCCTCTACGCAGAAGGCATCTATACACCACCACCGTGCCAAGGCAGGGCCATCCTGGGCCCCAGGATGGTGTATACGCCCTCCTGGCCGAGGCCAAGAGGGTCTATACACCATCCTGGGGCCCAGAATGGCCCTGGCCTGGCACGGTGCTGGTGTGTAGATGCCTTCGTCGATCTCCTCTTCCTCCTGACCCTCCTGCTCCTCCTGCTCCTCCTGCTCCTCCTCCTCCTCCTCTCCTCCTCCTCCACCTCCTCTTCTCCTCCCTCCACCTCCTCCTCCTCCCTCGCTCCTCCTCCTCCTCCTCCCCACCTCCCCCTCCCCCCCCTCCCCTCCCCCTCACCCCTCCTCCTCCCCTCCCCCTCCTCCTCCTCCTCCACCTCCTCCTCCTCCATCCTCCTCCTCCTCCTCCTCCTCCTCCTCATCCTCCTCCGCCTCCTCCTCCTCCTCCTCCTCCTCCTCCTCCCCCTCCTCCTCCTCCCCTCCTTCCTGCCCTCCCCCTCCGCCTCCTCATCCCCTCCTCCCTCCACACTCCTCCTCCTCCTTCCTCCTCCTCCTCCTCCTCCTCCCCCTCCTCCTCCTCCCCCTCCTCCTCCTCCTCCTCCTCCTCCTCCTCCTCCTCCTCCTCCTCCTCCTCCTTGCCATCACGCCCTGTGATCGACAAAGGGTGCGCAGCAGACGGCTACGGCTATGGGCTTCTTGAGCCGCCTTACCAAGACCACGGGGAAGACGATCGTTGGAGCGGCGCGCCAGCGCGGCACCCCGCGTGAAGAAGAAGAGAGCGCTGACGCGCGACCTTGCGTGGAGAAGCCTGCGAGCGAAAGCCCGCGCGGTCGACCCCGTCCTGCTCTCAGAGGAGGAGGAGGAGGAGGAGGAGGAGGAGGGCGACGACGCCGAGGGCGAGGAGACGGCATAACAAAGAGGAACTCGGTCCGAGACGTACAGCGCGGACCCGAAATGAGTCCAAGTGTTGTTGAGGAGACCACGACGACGACGACGACGACGACGACGACGACGACGACGACGACGACGACGACGACGAGGACGAGGACGAGGACGAGGAGGGTGGGGCAAGGAGGAAACCAGCAGCACGAGCAGCCTTCCAGGCAGGCATCCGAATCCAAACTCTCTTCAACACGCGGGGGGCTAGAGCAAACGGCCCCCACCGCAAGCTTGGCACCGCGGGTTGCGTCGATCTGGCCCCCCGGGGCCCAAGCAAGACGTGCCTCCGGGGGGGGTAGCGCAGGAAGAGGCGCACGCCGTCGACGGCGCCGCCGTTTCGCCGCCCCCAGCGGAAGGACATCAAGCAAAGCGATACTACGACCGCGAGAACAAGCGAGGCAGACGACGACGGCCACCACGACAACGACGCCGGCCACGCGAAGCCGAGCGAGGACGAGCGACGACGAGGGCGAGCACGACGACGACGGCCACAGCGACCACAACAACGGCGAGGACGGCGACCGCGACGACGGCGGCAGCGGTGGCGGCCACGACGACGGCGGCGGCGCCGACGCGTCAATTTCGCTAACCTCGCGAGCCGCGGGGCCCCTGGGCAGGGGGTCGGTGGTTCAAAGAGGGGGTCCTGTGAGATGGGGTCCTGAGGACGAGGTGCCTCAAGCCATGTAAAGCTACCCCTGTGCCCTTCCTACAGTGCGGGCGCGGCCGCAAGAAACCCTCGCAAGAAATCCAACCCTGAGAACACGTGCGCGTGGTGCACCTGAGGGGAAACCCGGAGCACCCTGAAAGCAGCAGCTCCTTCAACGGCTGCGAAGAAACCCCGGATACCCTGACGAATTGCATATGGTTTCCTGCTGCGCGCCCCCACTGTATCCTCAGGACCCCCTCTTTGAACCACCGAGAGGGAGGCCGAGAGCGCTCGGCCTCGAGACCTGCCGCCTCGGGGGCCGCAGCGGGCTTATGGGCGGACGCGCAGGAGGAGCGGGCGGGCGCCCCTGGCGGGGCGGAGGTGCGGGGCGGGGCGGAGGCTGGCGGTCCAACAGGTGTGGCCCTGAGGGATGGAGCACGCTGAGTGCAGTGGAGTCGCGTGACAAGGATGCGCGGTAAGGATGCAGGGGTCCTCGAGGGCCACGCTGGCGTGTTCGGCCTGGGCTGGCCAGCGATAGCCGCCAGGGATGGGCAAGAGGGGCAGGGATGAAGGGGTACAGCAGGACCTCGACCACAGGACGCCTTCCACAAGAGGCCCAACCCTGAGACCCCAGGGCGTCCATTGAACAGATTGGTTTGGGAACGCCACGCTTTCAGGGGCAGAACCATCGGGACCCAGAAAACCCAGGGCACCCTGGAGGCAAGCAGGGTGTCTCTTTGACTACCTACCAGACCACCCCAACCCAACCCGAAGACCCGAATTTGACCCGAATTTCGGGTTGGGGGGGGTACGGGTTCCATGTGTTTTTCCAACGTTCCCCGACCCCCCCACTGGAAATCGAGGATACGTTTGGGCCTTCGGGTTGGGTTGGGGTGGTTTGGTGGGTGGTGACTCTTGGCGTGGGCTTCCGCCGCAGCCTTGGGCAGCTCTGCTCGGCCCTGCTGTGCGAGCTGACCGCAGGGAGCGAAGGGGCCTGTCGGGCCACGGCGGGCCGCGGCCACGAACAGGCCCATCGACCCAGATCCCGGGAGCCCGGAGCGGCCCGAGCGCCCGAGCTGCCGCCTCCTCCTCCTCATCATCCTCCTCCTCCTCGTCCTCCTCCGCCTCCTCCTCGTCCTCCTCCCTGACCCCGAGGCGGTGCTTCTTCCAGCGCCGCGGCTGCGAGGGCGAGGGGTCTCAGGCAGCGAAGGCTCGGCCTGAGATCCCTCTACCTCCTCCCCTCAGGAGGCCCCACCTTTCAGGGCCCCATCTTTGAGCCGCCGATGCGGGGAGGACGCGGAGGGACATCTAGAGTGAATCTAGAGGGCTCCCAGATAAGGTCCAACTAGACAGGGTCGGAGAATCGCCGCATCGTCGATGCATCACCGATGCATCGGCGATGCATCAGCGATGCGTCGACGACGTCGGCGATGCATCGGCGACGCTGGCGTGGAAACCATCGGACTCCACATCGAGCTGCATCGCCGATGCATTGCGGCGCGATCCTCCGACCGCATCTACGGTCAGGAACCTGTGCTCAGCGCGCCACTGCGGCGGCCCCGGCGACGCGCTGTGCCCTGCCAAGCGGGAAGCGTGTCGAGCCGCTCCGCGGGCCGGGAGGTGGGGCACAGCTCGGGGCGCCGACGCCTGGGGACCGGGGAAGTGGACGCAGCGTGCCGCGCCGCAGCGTGGTGGCCCCAAAAACCACTCGAGCGACGCGCCACTGTATCCCAAAGTGCCCGACCGTACTCAGGAATAGAGGAACGAAGAATAACAGAAACATAACAACTCGGCGGTCCGCGCGGACTTCTCGGATCGTTGGAAGCGCGCCAGGGGCGGCGCCGGATGTGCCGCCAGGGGACTCCAGCGCCGATCCGAGAAATCTGTACGGACCCCCGACTTGTTGTGCTTATGCTAGGTCGGGCATGTCCTCCTACAGGCGGATTTTGAAAGAAAAACAAAACCCTGTCAAAACATTCTCAAACATAGCCAAACAAAACGAAACAGCGTCGCCATACCATGTTTTTTGAATGCTCCTCCTGTGGAGGGACATGCCCGCCTGAATTAGAGGGCAAAACATCCATCCCCCATGATAACCACCCCGACGAGCGAAGCCGTTTAGCAAACGCACCCAGAGAAAAGGCATCGAACAGGATAAGGCTGTTCCGTAAACGCCCAGGGGCCGCGTGGCAAACGCCAAATATCGGGTGTCGGGTCTGGGCGGCTTTCTCGGATATCCGACGTCGTGATGTTTTCCATACGCGGTCCCTGGAAGTCTCGACCTATTCCCCAGGACCGGTTGTTCATCCTTTTCGACACCCGAAATGGGTACCGAAAGAATGGGTACAATGCCCAACAACAAATGTTGTCCCAAACCAACAGCGGCCACTGTTGGGCAGGCGGCCTTCTGTCTCGAATGGACACAGGCCGCGGCGGCGTGGACAGCGAATCCTGTTCAAAATGAACAGGAACTGCCATTGGGCATTGTACCCATTCTTTCCGCACCCATTTCGGGCGTCCAGACCGGAAGTCTCGACCCACTCCCCAGGACCGGTTGTTCCTCCTGAGCCGTTTTTTGACGGCCCCGAGGCCCGGCCAGGCGAGGCCCCCCGGGGGCCGGCATCTGTGAAACGCCTCCGTCTCGTCCTCCTCCTCCTCCTCCTCCTCCTCCTCCTCCTCCTCCTCCTCCTCCTCCTCCTCCTCCTCCTCCTCCTCCCCCTCCCCCTCCCCTCCTCCTCCCTCCTCCTCCTCCTCCTCCTCCTCCTCCTCCTCCTCCTCCTCCTCCTCCTCCTCCCCTCCTCCTCCTCCTCCTCCTCCTCCTCCTCCTCCTCCTCCTCCTCGTCCTCGCCCTCGTCCTCGTCCTCGTCCTCCTCCTGGCCTCGTCCTCTGCGTCCTGCTCCTGCCACTAGCTCCTCCCCAAAAAAACGCGGGCGCCCCAGGCGGGCGCCACCCGATGCGGCGCGGGGGCGCGCGCGGGCGCGCGTCGGCCGTCGGGGAGCCCCGCCGCCGGCGTCGGGGGGGAGCCCCGGCCCCCGCGCGCGGCGGCGGCCGGGTCTCCCCCGGCGGCGAGGAGGGACGCACCGCGAGGAGGGCGGGGAGGAGGCGGGTCCGCCACCGGGGTCAAGTCGGGCGTGCCCCCCTACAGAGGGATTTTCGACGATAAATAAAAAATACCGCAAAAATGCCCCGAAAGGGTCAAAAAAATACTCAAAAAATAGTCCCCAGACTATTGTTGGACTATTTTTTGATTATGTTTGGGGTATTTTTTATTTTTCGTCGAAAATCCCCCTGTAGAGGGACAGGCCCGACTTAACACCAGGGCGCGCACACGCCAGGGAGGAGGAGCGGCAGTAGCATGACGAGGAGGAGGAGGACAGGCGCAAGCCGAAGACTCGTCAAGGATGTTGCAGCACACCCTCCCTCCAAATTTCCTTCTTCAGAGGCCCCGGCACGGATTCATTCTTCACTCAGGGGAGTCCCCCGCTGGGAGACAACAATTTGAAACTCCAGATTTGTGCCAGAACGCCGTGATTGGGACAACAACGCCGCGAATCACCGTTACTGTTGCTGCGTCTTGACGATCCTGAATCGTGACAGAACGCCGTTTCTGGGTCTTCAGCACCGCGAATCAACGTGACTACTGCGCCCTGACATTCTGACATCGTGCTAAAACACCATTTCTGGGACGTTCGCCATGAAAACTCTTGAAACTGCTGCAGCTCTTGAGACCAATGTGCGCGGCGCTAAGGCGAATGCCACAATGTTCGAAAGAGCCACCCTCAATCCTTGAAACTCTTGCAAACTTTTTAATCGAATGCGCGGGGCGCTGAAGCGAGAAGCACATTTTGAAAATGGGCCGCCCTCAATCAAGGAGCTCTTGCAGCATGTTCAAATGAATGTGTTCGCGAGAGCCGCATTTTGAAGAGGAGCCGTCTTCCACCAGTGAAGCTCTTGCATTTTAGTACGAATGCGCGAGGCGTCAAGGCGAGAGCCGCATTTTGGAAATGAGCCGCCCTCCATCCAAGAAGCTCGTGCAGATGTTCAAAACGAATGCGCACGGCGCTAAAGCGAGAACCACATTTTGAAAAGGAATCGCCCTTCACCCGTGAGACTCTTGCAAACTTTGACAACGAATGTGCGCGGCGCTGAAAGGAGAATCGCAAATTGGAAAACGGGCCGCCCGCCACCCGTAAAAACTCTTGCACATCGTGAGCTTCAAGATCTTTAAACCCCCCCAGGGCCACCTACCACTGCCTCGCCTCGACCTCCTCGAATCGTCGTCTTCGCCGCCAGCATTGCCGTCGATCTTCGGTTCACAACTCGGCTCTCTTTGGGTGTCCCAAAACCGTGTGGTGACAGACCCGACGGTGACCTCGAAATCCGCAAAGACCTCACCGCACGGTCCGTCACACCACACGGTTTTGGGACCCTGGAGGCTCCAGTCGCCCGAGGCATCCTCGGAGAAAGACCCAAGTCCCAAAACCGCGCGGTGACCCCGAATCCCCACCGACACCCCGTTTGGGGGCCCCCGATCTCTGGCGGCCGCTCGGGACGATGCGGGCACCCCGGGAAGCGCTCCCGGCCAGGCGCGGCCGCCGGAAGGCATCCCCCCGAGGCTGGCACGCCGCCGCTCGAAAACTCTGCGCCTCGACTCGCCCGCAGATGCCATGCTCCTGCCGACTTCGAATCTTCTCCGAAGCCGCGAGGAGTCACAGCACGGAGGTAGCGTCCTCCTCCTCCTCCTCCTCCTCCTCCTCCTCCTCCTCCTCCTCCTCCTCCTCGTCACAGCAAGGAGGTGGCGGGCGGGGCTCGGGCGTGAAGTCATGAGGAGGCGATCGGAAGCGGGGGGGAGACGCGTGCACCTTTGGTGCCCCTCTTGGGCCGAATAGGGGCCTCTCTAGTGTCCCTGGGGGGCACAAGAGGTGCGCCAACCTCCACTCCCCATGCATCGACGCCCGAAGCGGCCCCCATCCCTTACTCGACGCCCACATGCTCTGGAACGCAGTATCCACGCCGACGCCTCGCCCGGTGGACTCCTTCCCTCGGGCCAACAGCTCGTTCCAGGTCGCTATACTGACGGCCTCGGGGCCCGAGCACGGCCCCGGGGTTCCAGGGGTTCAGAGGGGCGACGACGACGACATGAAGACGACGACGACGAAGACGACGACGACGATGACGACGACGACGAAGACGACGACGACGATGACGACGACGACTGCGACGGCAACAACGACGACGACGAAGACGACGGCGACGACGAAGACGACGACGACGACGACGACGACGACTGCGACGGCAACGACGACGACGACGACGACGACGACCACAGCGACAACGACGACGAAGACGACGACGACGACGACTGCGACGGCAACGACGACGACAACAACAACGCCATCGCCCCCCCACATGACTCGACGCCCACGGAGCGGCGGCGGGAACAGCGCCAGCCACCCGCCGGTCACGGAGGAGACGCCAGGCGGCCGCCTGCCGCGCTCGCTCGCGACAGGGGCGCGCCTCGTGCTCGCCGCCGTCTTCGGGCAGCTCGCATCCCCAAAGATCCGAGGACCCCCAAAAAATATGGGCCGGCGGGATTTTGCCCGTTTGCGGGCTCTGGGGGCCTTCGCCGGGCCTCGGGAGCGTCAGAAAACGACTCAGCACGAAAAACCGGCCCACTGGAAGTGGTCTGGACCTCCAGGGCCCACGCATCGAAAGTATTGGTGCGGCTGGACATCTGGGTCACCGCCGTAGACCAGGAAGTCCCCCAAGAGGCCCCCCCAGCAGAGAGCCCAGCAGGCTCCCAAGAGAGCACCAGGAAGGGATCCAGAGCGTCAGCGCCGTCGTCGTCGCCGCCGTCGCCGTCGTTGTCTTCCCCCTTCAGGGTCGGCGGCGCCAGCTGCAAGGCCTTCCCAATATCCACCACCATGCACTGGCGCGCTGGTGTGAAGCAGAATGTCGTGTGGGCGACGCCAGAAACAATGGGTCTTACGCGAGATGGCAAAGCGACGCTACGCGGTCTCACGTGGGCCACCAGCGCGGCACGCCTCATTGAAGACGAGGGCGCTTACTGATAACTTTTGTGCCAAAGAGGCTGCGGAAGGGTAGCGTATCAGGCTCTGGTTTAAACCTGTTCAAGCCCGTTCTCTCCACGGTTTCCCTCAACACGCCTTCGAGGTCGCCAGGTCCACTCTGGAGCCAGACCTCGGAGGGAAACGCTATCTAAAACAGCATATAAAAGGGAATGGGGGTAGCTAGGCCACTGAGGCCCTTCCCCCCTCAAAAATTAATGTGGCCCTTTCTCCCCTCAAAAATTCATCTCCTCATCTTCCCATACTCTACTACACAGGCAGGTAACCTTCTCACTCGCTCCTTTTTCAGCCGCCTGGGCTCAAGCCTCTATCTCACTCTACGAGCGTACCAGGCCGACCATCTCCGTTAAGCTATCCTGCTTCTCCCTGGTCATCGGCTTGGTCATCATATCGCTCGGGTTCTCGTGGGCGCATACTTTGCCGAAGCCCAATCGGCCTTGTTCGCGCCACTGCTGCAGCGCCAGGAAGCGCATCTCCACGTGCTCCATATTTCCTGGCCCGCGCTTTTTCACGATGTGTAGCGCACTGTTGCTGTCGTTCATCACGGGCGGCATCGTCTTCTCCTTCCACTCCTCGAGTAGCGAGGCCAGTCCGAGAGCATCCGCCGTTCCCGAACCCAGCGCATAAAGCTCGCTCTCTGCCAAGCTCAATGCCACGCTGCCCTGGCGTCTCCACCGCGACAGGACGGTGCATCCGCGGTACTTCAGGACGCCGCGACTCGTCGAGTTCCTGTCCGTCCTGTCGTCGGCCCAGCCTGCGTCCACCCAGCGCCCCACTGCAATGCCTCCTCTGTTCGGGGCCAACTGCATCTTGTAGTCTCGCGTGCCTGCTATGTATCGCGCCATCTTCTTCAGCCTCCTCAGGCCCTCATCCACTGGCCCTGACATGCCCCTGCTTGGAACTCCAACTCCACGTTGAACGTCAGGACGGTGGCTCGCCAACTGCAATAGCTTCCCCACAAAGGTCCTGCAGCGACTGTGGCCCACCGAATCCAGCTTCACCTCGTCGCTCTTCATGCGCACCTCATTCTTAGTCTCGGGCAGTACTGATGGCTTCGCCGTCTCCAGGCCCAGCTCCTTCAGGGCGTCGTCGGCCAGGCTCGTCTCGCCGCTGATCGCGGAGCCGCTCTCGACCTTCGCCACCTGCATGCTCAGGAACGTCGCTCGGCTTCCGTTCTTGGCGAGCTTCACCACGCCCGATAACTTCAGCCCCCCCCCCCCCATCACCGCTAACAATGTGTCGACTTCGTCGCTCGGTCCAGCGATGAGGAAGTCGTCGGCGCGCCCCCCTGCTTTCATCCTGTTGCTCAGATGCGTGAAGAGACGCCCATCGTAGCGGCCCCTGACCATCTCAAGCTCCCCCATGGCGTTCGCACTGTGATCCCCCCAGGCCTTCGGCGCTCCTTCGAGTCCTGGAAATGCGCACAACGCCTCCCGAACATGTCCTTCAGGTGCTCCCACTTCTGGCAGCGGCTCCAGGAAGACACGGTCCTCCGTGGGCTGCGCCTGGTAGAAAGCCCCGCTGCAGTCGCCAAAAGCCACCGCGTGGTCGCGCAATTCCGCGTTGGCCAGCATTGCCGGCAAGTGCGGGAGTGAGGGGGTCGTGGCCACGAATCTCTCGTGCCCACGCACCCGCTGCTCGAGCCCCCTCGCGGTCCACCGACCCCCCCTGCTGCCGCCCGCCTGGGGGCGTCAACCCACTTCCCCGCCAGGATCTTGGACGCCGTGTCCTTGATCGGGATCACCTTTACGATCTTCGTGCCGCCTCCTGCGGTCTTCTCCAAGTACCCCTTCCTTGCCTCCGCGAAGTCGCCCTCCAGCGCGCGCCTCCTCGTCCTCGCCCTCCACCCGCGGCTCCTCGCGCATTTCTCTGACCGCGCTCATCATCTGGATGGTAGTGGCCCTGGACTGCTTGCCCTCGCTTCCTTCTCCGCCTTCGCGTTCTCGCTTGGGGCCCCCCCTCTACCAGCGGAATGACCGCGGGCTGCGGTGGCGCGGCCCTCAGGGTTGACGGTCCGACCTCCTCATCCCTGGGCCTCTTCGCCTCGAGTCGCCTCTTGTCCATGCCCGCGTCGTCGCACGGCGCTGCCGCCGATGCTGCTGCCGCTGGCCGTGATGGCGCTGGCCGCGGCCCCCCTTCTGCCGCTGCCGCCCCTGCTGCGTCTGCGGCTGCCGCGTTCGGATCCAAATACTTCGGTCATGGCCCGAATAAAATCGGTTCCTGTAGTGACCTCTGCGTTGGCGGTCTCCCCCTCGCGGTCGGCGTCGGCCCCCAGGATGGCCACCCCGTCTTGTCGAAAAGCCCCTGGTCCTAGCGTCGGCTCTCCACCTTCCTCCTCGCCGCCCTGGACCTGCGCGCCCCCGTCCGCGTTCCGTTCAGGTGCTCGTCCGTCCTCGCGTCGCGCCCTAGCCAGATGCCCTCCGACCACGACTACTCCAGCTTGTTGACCTGGGCACCTGGCCTCCTGCAAATCACTGCCTCGCCGACTGCGACGATGGGCTTCTGGTACTTGAGCATGCGGGGCTTCCCGTAGGGCGCGAGGTCGGTGTCCTCCCTGACCATGCATATGTTGCAGAGCCACGCTGCATTCCTCGGCAACCACGCGAGCAACGGGGGGCCGGGGTTGAGGTCGAGGTTCACTTTCTTGTTGACCTGCAGCATCAACGTCCTCACCTGCTTCCTCACCGTCTGGAGGGCCCTGCCGTTCGCCCGGTCGTTGCACCCCTGCGACTGCCCCATGAGGATCGTCTAACAGATGCCGCCTTTGATCGCCCTGGCCCTGACTGCCATGATGAACGAGAGCCCGGCTGCTCCTCCTGCTTGCAATTCCACTCGCGAGTGCCCCAGTTCGGCGAGCCACGAAGCCGCCGAAGCCACGGTGTAGACATCGTTTCGACCATTCTGGCTGATGGCCGTGCTCCAGATGCTCCCTGTCGAAGAGTCGCTGCCCACTACGAACTCGAAGTTGACGGGATCCCCCTCGACGCACGCCTGGCCGTAGTCGAAGCTCAGCAGTGGGATCAGCTCGTCGCACCCGTCCTTCTTCTTGTGGGCTATGTCGTGGTGGCCTTTGCTTGAATGCAGATCTCACGCCATGGTTCAGCTGGGTAGTACGCCAGCTCGTGCCTCTCGATCTCCTCCGCACTTGGCTCTCGAGGTCCAGGTAGTCCACTGGCTGTCGTCTCGGGTTCCACCGTCTCGTGATCGTCGGGAACTGCCGCTGGCCCCCCTGCGGGTGCATCTGCTAGTACAGTGGTTGCTGCCGCTCACCTGGTGGTAGCACTCGTGGTCCTCCTGCCAGTGCTTGCTGCATTGCGTCTCCGCCTTCGTCCTCATCACCTGGTCGCGCTGCTGCGACCGCTGCCCCGATCGGCGCCAGTAGCGTCATCCCCCTGTGGACCTTCCCCATGTCATCGTACACCTTGGTCCAGCACTCCAGTGCGTTGTGGTTGTTGATCTTCTTAAACTTGATCAGTCCTGCCGTCTCGCGCCTCAGCAGTCCTCCTTGGCCGCCGTACCAAGCCACGCAGTTCTCCATCCTGCTGCAGAACTTGCCCACGCTCATGATGGGCTGCTTCGCGTCAGTGACCTGGAACTCCATGATGATGCGTCTGTCGCCTGCTATGTAGAGCGTCGCCGTCTTCGGTCCGTAGTGCCTCGGCGGCGCGCCGACTGCGACCGCCAGGTTGGGGTTGCGTCCTGGTTTGAGCTCCGCGTTCGGGATGCCCCTGATGCCGCGCGCGCCCATCTGCGCAGTTGTCCGCCAGCGCCCAGAACGAACGCCACGCGCCGCCCCCAATCAAGCTGTAGACCTTTCTCTCCTGCATCTTTGGCCCCAGGCCGTCGCAACTGCGAACGTGAAATCTCCTCCCCACTCGGACGCGCGCTCGTCTATCGAGGCGATAGCTCGAACGCCCGCCCCCACCTGGCCGGCGGAAGGTCCTGCTGTAGATGGCGATGGGCCCCCTGGTGGCGGCGCGCCGGCGTTGCCCCAGCCGTCGCACATCGTGATCTCGTTGACTCCTCCTGTCCTGTCTTCACCTTCTGCTTGCCCGCGTCGCAGTTGGGATTCCCCTGTCGGCGCCAGCAGGCTCTCGCAAAGCGCCACCTCTGGCCACATGCGCGGCGCAGCCTCGCCCAAGGTACTCCTGCCACATTCCAAGCTGGCTGTCGCGTTGCTGCCGCCCTCGCCATGGGATCCGCGCCCTTGCCCTTCTGGTTTTGCCCCTGCTCTTGCCTTTGTTGTCTACGCCTTTGCTTTTGCCGTCTTTGCCCTTGCCTTTGGGATGCTGTCGCGTCAGCGCGCCCATCTCCATGGCTCCCGGGGTCCGGTTTCCTCTACTGCCTTCGGCTTCGGCTCCAGGCCCTGGCGGGCTTGGCCACTTCTGCCGGCGCCCG